CATACACCTTTGCATTGATACCAAGTACTTGAATAAAACTTTTTCAGTATCTTAATGTTTGCTGAAATGAATAAAACTTATGAATCCCAAGCATATATAATTTCAAAGAAAGTAAGACAACTTTTGAGTTAGTCATTGTAGAGAGAAAAAGTTTATCTACTCCATATGCAAACTAAAGTTAATCAGGTCACTATGGTACGTTTCAGGTTTGATTACTCCAGTTTTGCCTCCTTCACAGCTAACTGAAGGTACAGCGCAATCCACTTCAATACCAACAGCACCACTGATCATATCTGATGTTACCATAGCCTCCACCAAAGAACAAATTGAAAGCACCAAAACAACAATAGTGGCAGCTAAGAATCATGTACCTGTCCAACAAACTCCAGTGAACGGTGAGTTCTATGAAAGCACTCACACGTTTCTTTCTACCGTCAGTACTGCACACCAAAACACTTTTGCTTCTTTTACTACCGTAAGCACCGCTATTATCATACCTTCTAATTTTTTTCCAAAGAATGACATCAGTGAAAGTAACTTACATACCATTTCCAAAGCAAATGGTGCTGATAGCTCCCAAACCATCGAGGAGGATAACGATAGCTTTTTATTCTTTTGGCCAACACTTTCCCCTATTAGAACCCAAACTATCGGTAGTTATTTTTCTGGGATGAAAACCTCAAGTACCATAGCAACAGGATTTACTCGAATGGTTCCTGGCACTTACCATAATAGCGATACTAGAAGTGGAAATTCAAATACTGAAAATACTGTAAAAATTTACCAACCGAATAGTAAGTATGACAACTCCTTCATCAATCATGAGCCTACCACTGCAATGAAACTGCCATCAGAGATCATATATGAACCAAATCAGTTAACCTATTTAAAGGATAGTTTCAACTTCTCTCCTGATATAAATGATCCTTATCACAGCAAGGAAATCATGAAAAGCGGATTCTATGACAACCAAAATTTTGAACAAAACCACCTGAAATTGGCTGATAGTAATCTGAAATGTGTAAATTGTCTTAGCACAATAATGCCTGGTAACACTGCTCCTGCACCTTTCCCACCGCATATTTCATTTACTTCTACTGTACCAGCGCCTGTAGTCCCTCATGCTCTCACTAAAATTATGCAAATTTCAAACAAATTAACCAATAACATCAGTATTCGACAATCTAATGGAAATTACTTTGAAGATCTATGGAATGATATTGCGGAGCCGCCAGCTCTCATCGTCAACAATAATGTTGAAGACACAAGAAGCAAAACAATAACGACTGCTTCTTCAACAACTACCATTACAAGTAATAACTTACTATCCAGTCCACTGACGTCACGACCTGCTACGAGTACTTCTTACACATTAGTAACTCAACCAATTACAATTTCCGTGGAAGAAGAGCGAAAAACTCATACTATTCATACTACACATGCGTCAAAATCTATAGCATCTGTCATTTCACGTAAAACATCGACAATATCAAGTTTAGCTGAAAACGAGGCATTTGCAACAGAAGAAAAGGGGATAAAAAGATTGGGAAGGCCAGAAGTCGAAAATTGGGGTAAGTTAAAAAGTAGAATAAGTAAGTGCTTGTCCAGCCTCAGGCCTCTGGCCTTGCTCACACATTTTAAGAAAGACACACGCTATTATATACATTATATACATATATATATATTTGTATCAATACACACATATTTTATGCATAAACGTAAACTGACATACAGGGATGCATACATAGACAAAGCTAAAATTTGGGGTTTTTTTGGGAATTTTTGGGGGGAGCAGCGCTGTGGCTTAAAAATTTAACGAAATTTACTTCTGCGTGGCACCAAATCTCAACATTTGTCCCACTTCTGCCTAGACAAGTGCAAACTTTGCATCGTTGCTTGTTGAACTGCTCGCATTGCCTTCCTCTGCCTTTCTTCTTATTTTAGGCTATTTTTGAGCATGTTTGCAATGCTTTCTTACAAATTTTTGCTTCATTCAATTACGGACTTTTTCATTTTCTTTGCTATTTGTTTTGTTTTTTGCATTTGTCAGACATAGAAGTCGATTTATATACCTTTTGCTAGCAAATAATGCGTATACGTTGGCTTACACGCAAAAACATATGTAATGTAAAGGCAACACAAACGCATGCGTTAGTACTGGCAACCTACGCTTTTTTATCTATTTGTTAGTAGCACTTGGAATTGGCGTCATCGGGAATGTTTCTATTTCTATCTTTCGTTTTCTTTTGCTACTAGAAGATTCAGAGTTTTTCAACTTTGTAAACATAATGCTTCAGTTTTATCTGAATAGTTGATAGATATTCAAGCAAAAATTAGAAGGTAGAAAATCTACGTAATAGATTGGATATGAGAGAATTAAAAGGAATGAAAGTGAAGAAAATGAAATTCAATTTGTATTTTATTGCTTTTTAGTAAAGAAAATTGCTGAATAAGTGAAAAAAAAA